TCTCTCTCTCTCTCTCTCTCTCTCTCTCTCTCATCAATCAAGAATATACAAGCTACGGGCTGCGCACCCGGGCCCTCACGGTAAGTCAATAAGGATGCCCGCAGGAGCATGGTCCCATTAGCAGTCGGATAGGAGTGTAGGCGAACCAGTGTGACACTGAGTGGCAGCGGCCTGACAGGTTCATTACAAATTTATTAGATGTGTATAAGAGACAGTTCTCCCTCCCCTCGCCCTCTCTCTCTCTCTCTCTCTCTCTCTCTCTCTCTCTCTCTCTCTCTCTCTCTCTCTCTCTCTCTCTCTTTTTAAACGCAAATCAACACCGACCCCTTCTATTCTGGGGGACTCCAGTCCCGTTGCTTATCACCGGCAAGCATCATAATAGAACGTAGTATTAGACTTGAAGAAATTGAATTCCCTACTTCTCTCTCTCTCTCTCTCTCTCTCTCTCTCTCTCTCTCTCTCTCTCTCTCTCTCTCTCTTACCTCGGCCAGATCACAGCCTTGTCGTTGCAGAAGCCTCGAGAGATCATCAGGGGATGATGAAAGCGACCGCGGCGCCAGCGGCGAATAATTCCCATCCACCACCGTAGTTTTGAATACGTCCTCTCTTTTTTCGACTTCTTTTTTCCGCAAAAACAATTGCTCTCCTTCATCGACACGATCGAGCTCAGGCTTGGAACGTCCACTCTCCTCTTCTGCAGTAAAAAAAACCGTGACAGCCCCATCCCGACTTGCCGACAAGTGGGGATCACTACTACTACGTTTATCCCAATCGCGATCGCGATCGCGATCGCAATCCTTATCCTTATCATCATCTGTGATTGGAGGATGCCTTGAGCTTGGCGATGGCGATGGCGATGGCGATGGCGTTGCCGTTGATGCAGAGGGGCCCTCGTTGCTCTCTTGTGAAGCGACGGCAGATGCATCCCCCCCACGCGCATGGTGAGCAGGAGAGAGGTAAGATCTTGACAAGGGAACTCCGGAAGCGGAGGCAGGGGCGACACCTACCCCACTTGTCTCCACCCCTTTTCCATCGTCATCACCTTCGTCCTCGTTAGCGAAAAATGGGGCCACAGCACCTAGAGAAAATGCAGGACCATTTTTCTTCTTCTTCTTCTTCTGCAATTCCTCGAGCTTTCGCTTCCTTGCTAATTGGTTTGATATTTTCCAAGTCAGTTGCATTTTCGATCTGAACAAACAATCACAAATCAATTAAGCGACCAATTGATCGACTAATCAGTCGACCAATCGATCAACCAACCAATCGCCCAGTCGATCAACTAACCAATCGCCCCGTCGATCAATGAACCAAACAATCAATGGAGCAATCAATCAACCAATCAATCAATCTACAAATCAGTCAATCGACCAATCGACCAGCTAATCAATGGACCAATCAATCAAACCAATCAATGGACCAATCAATCGATGGACCAATCAATCAATGGACTAATCAATCGACCAATCGATCAACTAATCAATGGACTAATCAATCGAACAATCGACCAACTAATCAATGGACCAATCAATTAATGGAGCTATCAATCAAACCAATCAATCGACTAATCAATCGACCAATCGATCGACTAATCAATGGACTAACCAATGGAGCGATGGTTCGCAGTGAATCAGTTGATGGACCAAACGGTTGAAAGATTGATTGGTCATCAACGGACCACGACAAGGGGGGGGGGGGGGGCGCAAGGGGGCGTTCCGCTTTGAATGCACCGACCCTTCGTTGAGAACGACAGAGGCTTCGGATGGGGTGATGGTGGCTTAAGGATTAATTAATCGCAGTGAGAGTCCATAGCCGCATCACAGCATACTCACACTACCAATAGGACATTTTCGACTGGGATGAGGACATAATTGCGAACAGGGCAAAAGTGGAATTACGGCGAGGGAAAGGGAGGGGAGCGGGGGGGGGAGGGAGGGAAGAAAAGGAAAAATTGCATCCGTTTCCCCTTCAAAGATGGGAATACCCGCTATACCCAGTCCAGCACCCAACTTGCATTTATAGCCCCACAGTAATACCCTACTTTTCCAATTTGCCAACTTATACGCATACCCAGTCCCACAGGCCCTTGGTTGGGGAGCACGAAATTATGCCTATGCCCAGGAATCAGGCAGGCAAAATTGGGTATGCACACAGCTTGCCCGGGCATAGCTCAATTTGAGCATTCCGGTAGTTCGCAGCCCTTAGGCTGCGGTATAGTGGGCTTCGGCGTCTGTGTCAAGGTGTCGCATTTTTGGCGGCCGGCGACCAGGACGCAAGTGGGTTTTTCGGGGGCAAAAAAAATTGGGGGACCGGTCCTTGGCAAAATTGCGGACTACCTACAGCTAGCTCTGGTAGAACCGGGACTTTTGGAAAAATGAAGGACCGGTCCTCGGGTGGAAGTGGACCCCAAAAAGAAGTGGGGGCATTGGACCGGTCCTCGGGTAGAAGCGGACCCCAAAAAGAAGTGAGGGCATGTGATCTGCAAAAGGSCCCTCAGGCCCAGGCGTTGAGCCCCATCTTCTCAAAACAGGGAGGTCAGGCACAACGAAACAGGCGTTTTGCAAGAGGCAACTTTGGCGATTTTCTGTGCTCAGACAAACATGCACAAAAATCTGAAATTTTGAGAATCCATAGATGAAGTCGTGTTCTTTCCAGAAATAATAATAGAACATTTACAAAAAATCATTTAGACTGCGAAATAATTGTCGCGCCGATTTAGCACATTTTCCATTTTTGCCACTCAGCCATGCCTGGGCCAACTAAAAAGTACTCCAAATTCAGTGAGTTTTCGCGCTCAGAAAAATGCGTGAAAAAACCTGAAAATTGGAGTACTCGTAAATTTTGTTGTGATCTTTCCAGGACAAACGCTACATAAATTTAAAAAAATCATTCCAAGTGCGAAATAGATTGCGGCCGCAATTTGACCCATATTTCAATTTTGTCATTCAACCTCTCTCCCTCTCTCTCTCTCTCTCTCATGACGTTGCGTCACTTCAGGAGTGCGGGTTCTGAGAGAACCAAGACCTTGACGATTATCGAAACTTTTCATCGAATGGTAGCTAACACATACGAGATGGCGGATCTACCGCCCGTGATTGACCTGTTCGGACGGGAACTCCGACTCATGGATTACCCATGGAGAATAACCCGCGCCGCGATACTTGCGTTCATCCGAAACTGCAGAGACGCGGACGTCCGAAATAAATTTTAGGAGTATCTGGAAAAGCAAGAAGCACCAAATCGACGGATATAAAACTGAAAGTCCGGAATAAAATACGTCAAGAAATTCACACGACTCGGAATATAAAGCTAAAATCACAAATCGAAAAATCAAAAATCAAAAATCAAAAATCAAAAATCAAAAATCAAAAATATAATTTTGCACGGAATTAAAATAAATTTCCAGGGACGAAAAAGAAACATACACGACTAAGTACCCCGGAATATCATGGAATTTCTGCAGATATAACGACGTAACAGTGTCGCTCACATTTCCAAACATACGAAACAGATAAAAGATGAAAGACCTAAAGCAGTGGAAACGAACCAATAAAGAAAAATTACTCACCTGGAAATAAAGGAAAATCCACGGCCATAAAAGCAAACAAGAACAGAACAACAAACAAGGCCAGATTCAAGTCAGTATAAAAAAACATCGGAGTTATAGGCAAGTACCAGAGTAAGACGGAACTCCGACAGAGAGGAGAGTACATGAGTAACACGCACAAAATCATTAGATATGATGAAAGTAACTCCAAATTGAAGGCATGTTGGAAATCGACAACGACAAGGACAACACAGAGAGCGACTGCGGGAGATCCTGAGGATAGATGATGAGTACACTGCAAGGATAGGGAAATTGGCGAAGAAGGACTGGGAACGAAGGGTATAAATACTGAGGATAGTGGCTGAAATGATTACCTGAGCAATGAGGTAGAAGGGAGATCGTGACTGGTGTCGCATGCCATGGGCATTAGGTGTATGCTGTGAAAGTAAAACCTCGCACGTTCTGTCTACATTTGCATGTGTATGATGTGAAAGTAAAACCTCGAACGTTCTGTCTACATTTGCATGTGTTTATCTCTATGCACGGTGCTTAGAACTTGCGGGCGGTACCCACGATGATTGGCACTGTATAGACCTGTCACTCTTCCATTTTACATTCACTGTCTTTATCTCTCTCTCATCATTCGTAACCCTTTTCTTTCATGATATCATAGTGGCGATTTGTTGGAGATTACTATAGCGTGGAAATTACTCAGCGATTTTTGGAGATTCCATTTTACTTATCTGGTGTGTACTGAAGACGATCAACGACGTTGTGGTTTTTTTTATCGATTTCAAGTACGAAGACTACCTACCTGACGTTCCCAAGCTTCAAGGAAGATATCGCGTTGGTGATCATCGTCGGACAGGAGGCGGCGCAGACACTCATCATCATCTTCCGGATCTCAAGGGAGGAAGCGCTCAAGAAGGGGGAGATCGAAAACTCCGAGAGATAGAAGACATAAGTCAAGATCACCATCGTCACGGAGAAGAAGGGCGGAGTCAGAATCTCCAAGGTGGTTCTCGAGACCATTGTGGGAGCAAAGACGGAATGATTTCCCCCCACCGGAAAATCGAGCGTGGTTTACGGCGGATCTAAAGGAAGAAATCTTTAAGCTCCGTCGGGAGATGGACAAAGTTCTAAAGACACTGGAGCAACTCACACGAAAGACAAGTGAAAAGCAGCCAGCTCCTCTGAACAAGGAAGACACTGCAAAGAAGCCTGAGCTAACTCCGGACGCGCTCAAGTCCATCATTAATGAAGCACTGAAACCGACAGAGATGAACCAAGGGGGACAGAATCAAGTTGGTCCAAGCGCAACCGGTCAGAAGAATGCAGAGGCGGAAGATAAAGTAGAAAGAATGGTATCGGAAGTGCAGAAGGAGGTCAACAGCCTGAAGCTACTAAAGTATGATCTGGCGGTTGTGAAGGGCGCGTTGCAGAAGATCAATGAACCGACTCGTACCTGCACTCCGATCGTGTCATCTTCAGTTCATCCGAACGGATATGTGGGGAACAATGGTTGGACTACCCACTTCAGTACATGGTAGCCACAGCATTCCGAGCCGAAGCATGCCAGGCAGAAGCGCACCGAACAAAAGCAGATTGGGACGCGCAATCCCTCCACACCCCAAGAGAGGACGAACGAAGATTAATCGCAACGTATCGGCAGCGAAGTCAAAGGCAAAACGGAGCATTAATTTCGGGGTCGAACCGATGACGGACATGCAGCTCCTTCGTCTTCACTACACGGACATGAAGGTCTTATGCAAGGTGCACGACATCAGGTACAAGGACAAGCCGCAAGCGATCTCAACATTGAGGCTAGTTCCTGGATTGATCGCCTACAAGGGGCGGGACTTCAACCGGGATTCTGATCTTGAAACACAGATCATGCCAGATCCAGATAACATCAGAGTGTCCAATACAACTGGCGGCGACACAAGTGAGGATGATTATGAGAGCCTTAGTACAAGATCGAGCGGGAGTGATGAGTATGACTCATCCCACACATCTTCGAGCGCCGAAGATCTGTCGGGAAGGTAGAAGACACCTCAGCATCAGGCGACCTCACCACGACACAGAAGTGGGAGCAGATACACAGGCTATCAATAAAAATTGAGCAACTAGTTAGTACAGGGAGTTTCACGTTGGTGTAGACATATATACGTGGGAAGGACAGGAAGACAGCCCGACAAGAGATGGACTGAACACATAAACTTGGCCAAGAATCCAAATAGAGGAGCACAGCGGAAACTATACAATTGGCTACACAAATTTGGTTGGGAGAAGTATGTTCTGATACCCATTTGGATGGGAGTGAGATCAGAGGTGATAGGGATGGAAGCAACACTGATTAGGAGACTGAATCCATTCTTGAATACAAGGGGAAAGGGCAGAAAGACTCGAAAAAACGAAGATGAAGAAGGAGAAAGAGGAAGAAGAATGAAAACAATGAGGTGAATCAGAATATACCTGTTTTTTTTAAATTGATTCGATCGGGTTACACTACGAAGGTAACATCAATACTTCAACCGAAAGCAATGATTTACTGCACAGCTAGAAAAACGAAAAGTAATTAAACGAACATTCGGATCAACAATTGTGAAAATTGACAACACAAAGTTCCAGCTAAAAAAATGCAGAAAACGCATCAAAAATGGATGTATCTTCTATGTGATCCAACCGGTGCATACGAGACCGAAAATAAACAAACATAGA